TTGGCGTTCAGCTCCTCAGTCGGTGAGCTGGGGGGGCGGCCCTGCCCCCCGTGCCCGGCGCCTTTCCCCACGCCCGGGAGGTGGCGGGACCCCCCTCCTGAGCGCCGTCTCTCCGCGCCAGGTCCTGCATCCTCAGCGAGGTGTCCACGCGCTCCCGCTCCAAGCTGCCTTCGGGGAAGAACGTCCTCCTGCTGGGTGAGAACCGCATCCCGCGCCCCTCCCCTCCCCTGCCGCCCTCGGGCCGAATCCTTAACCCTCTCCTGGTCTTTAGTGCCCCGGGGGGGGCTGATGGTGGCAGGGTGCTGGCTCAACCCTCTCGCTTCTTCCCTTCCACGTTTTTGCTTCATTTTCCGTATCCAGTATCCAGAGATGCTTCAGATGTCTGCCTCATCGTAGGTACCATAATACCCGTACTACCCTTCCCCCCACCCGCCTCCTTAGGTAGAGGCGGCTCGGAAGGGTGGTTTATATTGTCCTTCTCTCCCGATGAGTGTTGGCTTCGGGGGGTGTGCGGGTCCTTCAGCCTCTTCCAAAACCTCCCTCCTTCCTGCACCCACGTTGGTCCTTATGGCGTGTCCCACCGACACAAGAACTGCTTCCGTGGCCCCAGCGGTATCAGTGAGGGCTGCTCCCGTGGGCCGGAGGGCGGGGAAGGCCGTACGGGCGTGTTGGCCGTGTCCTGCCCACGCGCGCTGAGCTCGGCGGCGGCGATATCATCGGCAGGTTACGCGGCTGCTGCCGGCCTTCCTTGCGTTGGGTTATCTCCACCCGGTGCCTTAGTCCAGCCTTCCGCCTGGCAAGGGTTAGGAGTTACTGGATGGGACTTTGATAGGGTGATAATGAGACCCAGCTGTTATTTGGTGTTGAGGGAAAGAAGAAAAATGATATGGCAAGCAAAATGAAAAGCTTCATGGAGGAGGGGAGAAATGGATGCTCTAATATGTGTGTGTGTGTATATTATTGCTATTATTATTACTTAGGGTTTTTTTTTTCCTGAAAGACTACTAAATACAACTAGCAGTAGACCGTTGGATGAACCCAAGTGGCTGGATCTGTTAACTGGCTGCTTCTTCCCTCCTTTGCCAACCTCCCTGTCTCCAGAAGGAACTGTGTGTTAGTATTTGGAAACATGGCTGAAACCCAGTAAAGATATTCACATAGACTCTGCACACTGTGATTCTGTGTAGTCGTGGTGTTTGTACTCTCTTGAGATTTTTCAAGTTAGGCTTTTTCCTCTGTATCCTAAAGCAATCACTGTGACCCTTTTCTTCCTGTTTTGATAAGTTGATTGGTGGTAAAACTCGCTATGAAGGAGAAAATTGTGCAAGGATGATGGGATGGCCTAGTGAACGTGTTACAGGACTCGCTACCCTTTAATTTGTTGCTTTTTATGTTATGTAATAAGTAGGATATTGAGATTGGAAGTTCTGTTGATACTAAAGAAAGGAAAGATTTCATAGTGATCAACAGCTTTTTATGTGATACTTAAACTGCATTGGATGACTGTCATTGTTGAAGCTGGAAGATCCTTCTTCAAGCTGTGACCCTTGCCAAGAAGATTACACTCCTGGTTGTCCCCTCCCTTTGTAGTCAAGCAATCCTTAGTGCTCAGTAACTGGAGGCTGTGCGCCTTTCAAAACTAGAGGGGGCACCACAGAATGTTTCCGATGATCATTTAGTTTGTGATGTTTAATCTGTTGTATAGTTTTATTTTTAATGTAGAGCTTATAGAGCAACTTAATGTAACACTTTTTTTGACTGATGCATTATTTTAAAGATGTCTGGATCTGTAGAAGAAAATAGATTTTTTTTTTTTTCTTAAGAGTTGTGGTTTTCAGAAGGCCACAGCCCAAGGAAAAAAAGAAGTTTGACGTATAATTAGGAAAAAGAGCATCAGATCTGAGTCTGACTGGCCAGAGGGGACCATAGCCATGTTCTTTGTGAGAATACCCAATCCACGTGTTACACTTGGCTGTTCACTTGCAAGTTGTGGTGCTGCTCCTGAAGCACACTGGCACAGGGAAAGGAGAGGTCTTGGGTGTTCTGTGTTAGACAGAATCAGTGTATAAAGTTCTTCAGGTTCTCGAGCTGCGTGTTTGCAATTTCTCTGTTATCTCACATTTCCTCTATTTTCAAGCTTTGTTCCTTTAAACAGTTTTGTATGAATTTTGTTGTGAATACAGATCACTTCTTGCCATGACTGTTTTAGTTTCATCATTCTTCAGATGCTCTTTAAGTGGGAGCTGTAAAGCCATCCAGGGTCTTGATGGTTTTCACTCCCTTTGTGATAGGCAAATATTTTCAGTGTAAACAGTGTATTGGTCAAAACTTCCTAGCTGAAACTCAATACATAGTAATGAATGCTTATTTTCAATACAAACTGCTTTACAAAATAATCCCCTTAGCCTCCAACCCACACCCCTGCCCCCATAAAAACCCACCAGAAAACCCCACCACCTAGTGTTCTTTTGTTTGCTAGGACAAGTTTTCTCATTTGCCTGCAGCATTTATGTTTTTCAAACACTGCATATACTTGCATGCCCAGTTGTTCTGGGAACCTGGCTGTGTCTGGCATGCTAATTCTGCTATTTCAGTATTTAGCAATGTTAACATCTCATTTTTAAGAACCTGGAAAGCAGTTCAAGGCACCACAGAAATAACTACAGGAGACTGGAATGCCAAATGTTAAAACCATGTGCCACATCTAGAGATTGTGAAGTGAAGGTTAACATGTAATACTGGTAATTCTCTGCTCAAAATTGTCAAAAAAAAATTAAATGTATAGTTTTACTTCTTAAAAACTCAAAAAAAATTTTGTATTAATCAAAATTAATTTTGAAAAAATTAATGTATAGTTTTACTTCTTAAAAACTCTTTCACTTACAGATGTTTTTTCAGTAACTACTTTTCTATGAAGATTTTAAACTTTGATTGGCACCACATGCAGTATAAAAGCATTCTTCTGTTCTTGTATCAATGAATAATAAAAATGCCAGCTTTCCTATGTGTTTCTGTAAGGCAAGCATGCTCTGACTCCTTGGCAGTTCTGTCACAGTGACCACACTTAGCAAACTATACCAGCAGAAAGCATAAGATGTCCTTCATTTCTTAAGGAAATTGGACCCTCTCAGGGATATTTCTAGCTACTTCTTGCAGATAGCTGAAGGAATGTGTTTTTGTTGTTGCTGGTCTTTTTGCTTTCCCTCCTGAACTGTCTCATCTGCTCACTCATACAATAAAAAGGTGGCTGATCAGAGGAGATGGATGCTCTTTGCTAAGTGTGATGAGAAAACTGATGCTTGTAACGGAGCGCTCTTGTTCATTCCCTTCCTGCTATAATTATATCTGAACCAGCAAGTGAGGTGGAGGGAGCAGCTGAAAAGTCACCACTGCAGGTTGCAGATGGCATCCACAGTGTTACAGAATGTGTGAAGGCTTGAATTGAGAGACTCAGCTAATCATTCATCCAATAACCATTCCAGCAGTAATGTTCAAAGTCATTCCGGGATGCACAAGAAAGCAGACTCTCAGCTTGCAAGTAAACTGAATAGCTGCTTTCTAGCTGGCTTTGTATTTCACACGTTCCTCTGTCTCTGAGGCACAGTAGATTCTTTGCCTGAGATTCTAATGATGTCAAACCATCTAGTGCCACGGGTACACCTGACCCCCAGTGTCTATTGTGTACTTAAAGCTGCTACCCAATCAGTAGCATTTTGGTTTTCTTCTTTTTCATTTTACCCCACTCGGTGACAAAGGCTTTGAGTGTAGCGGGCAGTGAGTGTTCAGCTGCTCTGTATCCACGTTTTCTTTGCCCCAGATGTCTCACTTTTCAGGGCCTGTTTGTTTGAGTCTTTGAGCTCTGCTCCTGTCCAGGGGCTGTCAGGATGCTCAAGGAGAAGGTTCCACAATCTACAGCTAACTTACAGGTACACTTGTCTGTGTGTACATGTATTGGGAATGGCTGTTATTGTAGAAAAAGGTACATCTTGAAGAGCTGGTTTAGCTTGCTAATGTCTTAGTTGACCCATGGAATATAATGAACTTCAAAATTAAGTTGTGATATAGCAAATTGTCATGAGAGTATATAGAATTAATATAAAATCTGCTTACTTAAGTTTGTACTCAACACTATAAAAAGTTACTTTTCCATTTTATTTTCTTCCTATTCAAATAGCTGGAAGTTTTGCTCTGATAATTTCATCTTTACAGGTGATGAACACTGCTTGTTGATACTGTCCTTACTGTTCATCTCAAATGTTTCTCAGTTCTGTAATACTGCAGATGTTAAGTCTAATAGCTTCTTTTTCTCCTCTTCGATCTTCTTCACCTTCTACAGGCAATGAAAGACTTCCAAATATAGCCAGGTTTTGTTTCAATCAGCAGAGTTACACTTCTAAAGTGTCAAATGTTTTGATGGGGCATTGACTTAGATAAAATTATAATTGCTTGTTCTGCAGCTACTTTTTTTCTTTTTTAGAACTAAGTAGTACTCCTTTGTAGTGTCCTTCCTGCTATAACACCCTTCCAAAAAGCCAGAATTAAGTGGATGCTGTGTAATAAAACTTACTTAGAACAGCACAGTAAGTTCTGAAATTCTTGAATTGCATTTATTTTAATCTGTCTTTGCTTTGCCAGAGGTGCTGCTGATTATTGGGTCTGTCTGCGATAGCTCCAAAGGTGAGGAAGGGAGGTGAGGTGAAAGGAATTGTGCTTCTGATTTCTCCAGGCAGGTTAGTGGCAGGAGCACTGATGAAGATCTCCCTGCGATAGCAGTAACATGGGATTATTCTATTTTGGTAGTAAACTTGGGTAAAATAAACCCGATGACTTACTGCCGCGTTAAGGGTGGCTTGCGTTAGAGATGTACGCCATCCATATTCCCTATAAAATTCTCTGCAATATTTGGCCTTCTCTGGATTTCTCCAAGTACGCTATTACTGCTGTACCTGTTTGCACACTCGGGGCGTGTGTTCTTGTGGTGCAGCGCTTCACAGAAGGCACACCGGAACAGTTGTCTGCAGTCTGCTTTCTGTCGTGTTGTAATGCTGAAGCGCAGTTAAGGTGCTCCTCAGAAAAGATACTCAGTTTTTCAGTGCCACAGAGACACCAAACTGATCATATGTAAGGGGGAAGACTTATCTGGTGGAGTAAAATAAACTTGGAGAAGGAGGAGGTTTTTATCCAATGAGTAAATT